TTACATTTCTTCTGGGAGATAGTAATGGTATTATCATCTTTAAATCCTTGTGGATCTTTCCCTGATTCATTATGCTGAAAACAACCACCTCCTTGATTGGGAAAAAAAAAAGTGCAGATGTGCACAGGGTAGCTCTTCTTCAAAGATGAATGAGAGATCATACCTTTAGAGTGTGTGTGTGTGTCTGTCTTACATCTTGGTGCCATCACCATAAGGTTTTTTCGTTTTGTAATATTAGAGATGTCACCAGTCAAGGGGTTATGCATGTTTGTCCTTAAGTGCTCTCTGGTACTGCAGGAAAATCCTGGGTAAATTCCACCTCTGTTTTACTCTTTATTTTAGTTCTGACACTGGTAATTATGTAATTACTGTAAGTTTACCTTAAGAGTACCTGCAAGGTTACAATTTTTTCCCCTCCTAAAGTTACTCCAAGATCACTGGGTCACATTTACCACAGGCTGATGTGACGACCTACATGATATGTGATCAAGCTGCTAGTAAATAGTTATTTTGAAAGCCTTCAATTATTTGCACTGATATTCACAGTTGAAAGACCTTGACTTGAGAGAATTACTATATTAAACTGCAAGATACAAAATGTTTAGGAAAGAGATAAATCCTGAATCTTGAACTTTTTTTCTTCACTGAATTATATGTATGAAAGCAAATTCAGATGATGAGGGTTAAAGGAACTTTAAACTGTTGTTAAAATATGACTATAGACAAACCACAATCCTTCTGAGCCTTGTTTATTATTATTATTTTATTTGGTCTTTAAAAGAAGGATTATTAAAGATTTATTTCCATTCACAGCTCTAAAGTTTCATGATTCCAATACAAATCTTTTATTCTTAAGTATCCTTTTCTTAGGTTTTCCCAAAAAGTGTGACATAGTATGGATACGCTTAGTAGTGGGAGTGGAATGTGATGAGAAAAAGCTATGAAAATATTTGTTCAGAAAAAACATGACCAGGGTAAGGTGGGTACCAGTATTGTAAACTTGCTGCATTTAAATAGGGTCTTTGGTTCCTTTAAAAAAAAAAAATTGGGAGAAAGACAATAAAGATACAATATTTATCCTGTAATTAGAACGCAGCAGAAATAAATACATGAAAAGTCACAGAGAAATGGTCTGAAATGTTTTCTTCTGCTACATTCACTAAGTGGAGGATTTAACTGAAAATTACTTCATATAAAAATTGATGCACATGTACTCACACTCAACTGTACATGCATACAGAGAAAGCTAGGCTTGTAGTTTACTTCTGCTAAGCAAACTTTCTTACATAATGCTAATTAAGAGTCACAAAGACAGTAAGACTATCATTACCATTTCAAAACTATTCAGAATTGCTTTAAGCATTTTTACCTACTCAAGAAGGCCAATGTCCTAAGGGTCTCTTGCTTAGAGCTCCATGCATTTTATTTATTTTTTTAGAGAGGGGTATAAAAGTTGCTTGATCCACAAGTTTAAGTTTCTGCTATGCAGAAATATGGAATATTTCAAAGTTTAACATTTGACTTTTGGCCTACTGGGTCTAGAAACAACTATTGCCACACAGCCTCAGCAAGGAACAGGCCAATATTCTCACAGCTGGAGTGGGTTATTTATTTTGCTATTTTAACATGGAGATAGTAAGAATGGTACTGGACTTGTACACTTTAAAGTAGTTAATTGTATGTTTTGTGAATTTTGCCTCTATAAAAAACAAAGAAAGGTACTGAGTACTTTAAAAGCTGTATAAATTATATAGAGGGAAAAAGCTTTTTGGGATGTTGCTTTCTAACAGCACAATAGTGGGTCTGAGCATGAAACAGGAGCCAGAACAACAAAATTGTTCTAAGCACAGTATGTTCCAGGGTCAGCTTGGAGCTTTCAGGAACCTCTACAATAAAGGTGAAGTGTACTACAACAGTGAAGTCAATAGTTGCCTTAAGAAGTGTGGTCAAGAGGAACCTGGAGAAAATGAATTGGCTCTTAAGGTCAACAATTCCCAGCTGTTTTGTGGAACTTCTGGGTACTTCAGTCCAATTCTCAAGTGGCTTAGGCTACTCAGGCATGGCTTCAGTTCTAGGTACCTCACAGGTGTAAAGTAGATTTCTGTACAATTCAAATCCAGGGCAGACATTCTACAAGGTCATGAAATAGAATAGATTCTCCTTAATGAATTAACTCTTGAACTATCAAGATTGATTCTTTCAATAGCTCCTGATTAAGGAAGCTGCAGGTTGATATGACCAGTAACATATGGTGGCTAGATTATGGCTCATGGAAGCAAATTACAGGTCAGTAAAGAGGTCCAAGGAGCAATGGCTTCTCAATTCATCAGCATGGTTTCACAAACATAGTATACTTCAGCAATGATTTGTAATTTGAAGCATTATCATTTTTGAATGTCACAGTTGATATCTCAGCTGACATATATAGAAATAAGTCCAGTTAGTTTAAGAATATCTTAGTGTTATGAAACCAAGGTTGCCTCCAAACTAAGAATATTTGCTATTAATTGAATAACGAGAAGAAATACATAGTCGGCTTTAGGTATCCATGGGTTCCACATTTGTGGATTAAACCAACTTCCAATGGAAAATATTTTTTTTTTTTCTGAGACAGAGTCTCACTTTGTTGCCCAGGCTAGAGTGAGTGCCGTGGCGTCAGCCTCGCTCACAGCAACCTCAAACTCCTGGGATCAAGCAATCCTCCTGCCTCAGCCTCCCGAGTAGCTGGGATTACAGGCGTGCGCCACCATGCCCGGCTAATTTTTTCTATTAGTTGGCCAATTAATTTCTTTCTATTTTATAGTAGAGATGGGGTCTCGCTCTTGCTCAGGCTGGTTTTGAACTCCTGACCTTGAGCAATCCACCCGCCTCGGCCTCCCAGAGTGCTAGGATTACAGGCGTGAGCCACTGCGCCCGGCAATGGAAAATATTTTTTAAAAAAAATTGTGTCTGTATCAAACAGGTACAGACTTTTTTCTGGTCATCAGTCTCTAAGCAATATAGTAAATCAATCTATGTACATAGCATTTACATTGTATAAGGTATTATAAGTAATCTAGAGATGACTTAAAGTATACCGGAGAATGTGTGCAGATCATATGCAAATATTACACCATTTTATATCGGGGACTTGAGTATCAGTGGGGCTCCTGGAACCAATCCCTCCCAGATGCTGAGGGATGACTGTATATAATATCTTCATCCTGCTCTACTACATCTTCAGCAGATTTTCCTAAAGGTCACTCCTAAATATACAAAATAGAAGAACCAAGAGTAGATTAGCCCAATAATTTACAGATTTTATTTATTCACACAGTATATTCTTTTTGGGGAAAAATTATCAAAATATTTTTATAACCTGTTATGATAAAATTCTTAATTTCTCCCTACTCTTCACCAATATATGGCTTTTAATTCTTATTTGCTATAGAAATAAAGCAGAATGGCCTAATCCAACTTTGTAGGAAGAGATACATTCCCTTTGTAGGTGGAACATTCCCTTTGTAGGTGGAAGCCTATGTTTAAAAACAGCTTTCCAGTTTGCTTGTGAGCAGCCAGCTCATTTGTAGCATGGGCTCCTCAACTATCAGACTCATCAAATCCTGTACCTATCACTGTCTAAACCTTTCACAAGTAACATTTCTACCAACTAATCCCTTGCACTCACTGGGGCTTACTTACATCTGTCTCATCTCATCCTTGGCTTTTCCCAGGCCTTCCCCAGCACTCTGTTTCCATGTCTTCCTATCGTGCTTAGAGGAAGGAAGTTTTCCTTTGGATCATTTTCAGCCTACAGAAAACCTGATTCAGGATTCCTCAGATAATACTATGCTTTCTACAATTCTCTCTCATATAGTTTGACTTCCTACCCTTAGAAGAAGACTTGAGGAAAATGGGGTAGAGAAGAGAACATAAGAGGTTATAAAAGCTGGCCTTCTTTCCAACCTTCAGCTCTAAGGTTAGACATTTCTACCTATTATCCCTTCTCTGGTGCTCATTCATCATTTAGCACTGAGTGCTCATCACACTGACCAGTCTCTTTAGTTGTCAATTCCTTAACACTAACCTGTTCTTTGTCCTCATGAAAATCTAAAATCATTCAACTCCCTTCCACATCACTCAGACCACTGGTTCATAGGAAACTGCCTTAGTGGATTATTTTTGGCCACAAGATTAGGTATTTCAATGCAGCCTTCTTGAATATCTCTATGTCCTTGTCTTCTTCACCTTCTAACCAAACTCTCAATATTTACCTTTTTCCACTAATGCTTTGTGCTAAACCAGAGGACCACACAAAGCCATACATACTTGAACTCAAAATCTTTAAGCTGACTCTTATCTTTACACAGCAATTCTTTCATTTATTTCCAATTCACTTCTGGGCTTTTTCTTATAGATTCTATTTTTAATCTCCCTTTTTAACAGGCTACCTACCAACTCCATTCTTTCATCCCCATTTTCAAATAATAATGCATTCTAATAATTACTGATATGAGCCCCTTCATCTACTCTCATTTTCTCTAATCTTGCCTTCTCTTTCCCTGATCTTCTCGTTGCTCTCACAAATCACCAAGGAAGATATAGCCCATTTCTCTCTCTCTCTCTCCTTTATTAAATAACGTATGGTTGGGTTTTTTATTTTATTTTTTAGAGATGTGGTCTTGCTATGTTGCCCAGGCTGGTACTGATCCTCCTGCATCAGCCTCCTGAGTAGCTGGGATTACAGGTGCAAGCCATGGTGCAGTGACTGGTGGTCCACCTCTCTTAAAGCTAAACCACAACCTCATCTCAGGAGACTATCTCCTCCCACCACCTGAAGACATCTGCCATCCTACCGAATTAGCCTATCTTCTTTAAAACATTTTTGATCCCTTCCTCTTTATTGGCTCTGTATGGTCTGCATTTAAATACTTAGGTTTCTCCTTTATATTAAAGCAGTGCCTACTAAGACCCAGCACCCATTTAGTCGGCATCTTGTTTCTCTTTTCACCTTTGTTGTCAAATGTCTTAACTAAGTAGTCAATGACTGCTGCATCCATATCCCTGACATTTCCTCATTAATTCCAAAAACCTGGCTTCTATTCTGCACCTTTCTATAAAGGTTGCATTTTTAAAGATTACCAGAGACCTACCCAAACCTAAAGACCTTTTCTCAGATCTCATGCTTCTAATTTCTAATTCATAATTTCTTCTCCATTCCAACTATTACTGTTCTTATTTGTACTGGACAGCAATGGCATACTGGAATTGCTTTCTAACTGGTCCCAAGAGCATGATCAGTCTATTACCCCATTACTCTTTTTAAAATGCTACCATCAAGTTACAGCTTTGCCAAGAATCTATAGTGCTCTACCACTTGACCATATCTACATTAAGTCTAAACTCTTCTTAGTTTTCAAAGCTTTAAGCACATTTATCCCAGCTTACCTGCACCCATATACCTCAGTCGAGTCTACCTCCTTACCGTCCTTCCCTTCCAACCGCTACAGACCATGTTAATTTCTCCCTCTGGTCCTAGATTCAACCTATATCCTTTATTGTGCTTTCTCCTGCCTTCATCTAAATTTGAGCCATCTTTCAAAGTCAAAAAGTATCACACTCTTTTTATGAAGCTTCTCCCTGTACCAGCTCACAATAACTTCTTTCTCTAATTCCTACCTTTACTTTTATATAAGCACAGTGTCTGATTTGTTCACTAAACATTTTATGTGTGAATACTTGCATGTATTACTGCTATTTGTCTAGCACAAGGAGGCACACATTAAGTACTCATTCAGATAGAGACACAGCACTAAGGGTAGAAGGACTAGCTTGACACCAGATAATTTGGCCAATTTTGTAGAATAAAGACACATATCATTGTTTGGAGTTATCACTTCTTTATAAGATAATTAAAAAGAAAAACTTACTATATTTTCAATTGTATGATAGCCAACTCTCAAAGCCAATTAAGAAGATTCGGTAAGACTTTGTGATCAAGCAACCCCAAAAGTCCAAAACTTTACAACTCAACACAGCATAAAACATCCCCCCATTTATATATATATGTATATGTACATAAATAACTTGGTGGTCTTCATTTTGTAAGATTTCAATACACCTACAATTTGTTCCTTTCTCTCGGCTTTCTCAGGCAATGTCTCTGTGGGAGTACCTCCCTTTGGACCCGTGTCACAGCAGAAGAGAACTCTGGCAGTTTTCAAGGTGCTTGGAATACCATACAAATAGGAGGAGCCATGTCAGTAGAAATGTGCACAGACAACATGCATTAAAGCTGTTTTCTTTAAAGGGACACATATATAGAAGGCTCTACTTAATTCCCAGGGAGATAAGTAAAGGGTAAGAGACTTGAGCATACACACATAAATTAGAATAATGAATGTATGTCTTTCCTATGAAGGTTTTTCACCTCCCTCCAAATACAAATAAGTACTCAATACTCTTTGTTCCCACTGTCAGAGTGATTACTGATATAAGCCTGAACTGCTATGGTAGTTCTTGTGATTAAAATATATCAAGAGCTGACCTGATAGAAATAATGTGAAATAAAACTGTCTTTAGGCTGTTATCCTTGGTGATAGAGTCTGTATTTTATTCAACCTGGTATCCCTTAAGATCTAGCTCAAGTCACTACACAGAATAGGTACTCAAATATCTTATTAATCCTTTGTTGAAAGAAGGGGAGACTATACAAAAGCTGGAAAAACAAAATGCAACAGTAGCATGAAAAGGAAAGCATTATTAATCAGAAAATATTTTCTAATGAAATCTTTGAGAAAATAAAGAAGCACTTGACATTCATCACACAACTAAAATCATTCAGCGCAGGACTCTATTTCATACAGTGGCACTAAAAACATTGCAAGGCAGCAGTTTTTAACTCTTTTTCATGAAGGGGAAGGGATGTCATCAAATCTTTCACAAATCTATTAAAAATGGACATATGCAACAGACAAAAAAAGGACATGCAGACAAATCTACAATTTTGCATGTACTTTCAGAGTTCTGAACTCCAAGTTAAAAATTCCTGGGTTAAAGAAAAGACTAGTCACTTTATGAAGATTAAAGACATAAAATGTATAAAGTTTCCCTTGTGCATGATGGATCATGCAGAAATGTATCAAAAACAAACTTGAAGCTTTTAAAGAATTTCTCATCCTTTGCCATCATTTTGGATTCACTTTGATTGCTATGTGAAGCGATGCTTTCTGTGTTGTCATTTATTCTGTGCGTTAGTGTAAAATTATGACTATGATTTTAAGATTTTTTTAAAAAACAGTATTAAATAAAATATTAAGTAAATGAAAGGTGAGGCCTACAAGGTCAAAGAATTTTAAATTGAGTTAAAAGATTATCTTTAGCCATTTTATATAAAAATTTAGAAGATGAAGTCTAATTGCCCAAGAAGCATTTTCTTCATTCATGGTGTGCCTGGAAATGGAGGTGGGGAGGAGAAGCAGGCAGGGAGACAGTTTTGGGATTCTCTTCAGGGATCTGGCAAGTCTGGGCAAACTACCTGACAGTTTTTCTGCACTGGCTATGAATCAGAAAGGAAAGGAAAAGCTATAAGGAAAAAAGCCTTATTTAACAGGTGTATCTCTCAATACCAAAAAGTGAGTAAAATAAGAGCTATCCACCTGCTATGTCTTCATAAGAAGATCCAGACAATGAAAGGCTTACATTGAAGGCTGGAGAGAGCTACGAGCTAGTAAGCATCATTACAAGGAGTCAGAGTTTGTTAATAAAGCCCAGGAGGCTTAGCCCCACAGGAGACATAAGTGAATTCTCTGCCTCTTACAGCAAAAATGAAAACCATATTAAATTAGGATATAATAAAAGGCTAATGTTTAATAAGTCTACAATATTCTGTTTGTATTTTCTAACTCGTAATTTTCTTGTAATGTTGTCTTAAAATCACTTCTAAATAGAAATTAGAGACTAATATTTATGCTGAATTTTACAAAAATCACTTAAATGGCTAGACAATGGCTTTTGTACCCTGTTAATCAAATCTAAGGGTACCTAAGAATAGATTTTAGTTTATCCCAATATACCCTGGAATAAAGCCATTTAATTGGTTGCATTATCTCTAATAGAAAGTAACCAGATTCCATATAAAGAGGTAACCTTGAAAATTCTAACCCCAACACAACATTAAGTATCATATCCTAATAACATATTTTTTTTATTACTATCTTAAGCCCTAGGCTTATTTTTTGGTATTCGCATTACCCCTTTCATACCTTTTAACAAATTAAGGCATACCTTTTATCACAATTGTTTTTTAAAATCTCAAGAGGAGGTGTGACTTTCCCCTTCTTCCCAGATGCTTCATTTAGGCAGAATATGGTCATGTTTTCTGAATCAGCTTTTGTCCACTGGCCAGAACTGAGTTCAGTTTCTTTCTTTTATTATCAGTTTTAAAACTATTTCAAGAAATTCTGTATTATCAAAAACATCACTTCACATTATATCCTAATAAAGTATTCTACCATTCTCTTGATTAACTAAGGTTATCTATCACAACTTAGGTGGCCTAACTTTAGAGGACACCCACTCTCTTCTCTTCTGCCTTAGTCTCATTCTGGTCAGGTACTTATAATATTGTCTTATCATCACATTTTCATTATTAAGCAATGAAATTTCCAAACAGACATCCCACAGAATTACTGTTTGTTCAATAAAAATGTTAAAACACTGCTATGGTTGCTTCTCACATACAATGTTTACCCTATATTCAAGTTTCTGATAAGTCAACTATAAGTTGAAATTCTGTTTTTGAGGCATTTCCTGGTATACTAGGCAGTGCATTAGAAAAGAGATTATATTGCATTTAAGCTATAATATAATAATTATCTTTTAACCATCTATGTATAATTAACAACCATTCAAAAGAAAGTGCAAATGTGCAAATGAGAGAGAACAAAACAATTTCTACAGATGTAATGCATAATATAAGATATAAATCTAGACAACTAAAAACAATTGCTGACAACATCCTTTTGAGCATTAAATGACACCACCAATTTTATGTTATATGTATTCTTTCGTAAGTATTCAAAGAATGCAATAGACATTATCTTAATTTTCAAATTTTTCAGGAGATTAGGATATTACCATTTTTTTCACATATCAGAAAACAAGGAACTACGATTACCTTTGTATATTTTCAATAATAGAGCCAAAATAAGAACAATTCTAACTAATCTCATCTGGGATCTTAATTAGTACTACAAGTTTATTTGTGTGAGTTCAAAATAGTATCACTCATGAGAAACAATGCCAAAATTATTTTACTAATAAATTATGTTAAAGGCCTAATGAAGAAATACTTCAGCAACTATGAGGTAACACGCTAGCTGTAGGCATGAGGAACGTTTATATTGGCTCTTTTGGGTGTATACATTAAAAGCAAAATCAGAAAGGAATCATGCAAAAATCCGGTTGCCCATGCAAGCACCCCAGAGTCTAATCCTCTCCTCTCAGTTCTGTTGTCAGGCCACAGTAGTGTGGAGACTTGTAGGCTGCTGTCCTTGTTGTAATGAATGGGAAGAGGCTGACAGTGGCATGGTCGAAACCTTCACCTCTTCTTCCCCTGTGGAAAAGTCAGTCATGGTCTAGTTATGGGTGACTAGATTTGTTAACAGTCCCTTTAAAAATGATCTCAATATTTGGATACTGATACATATATAAAATACATGCTTAATGTATGGAATCTGGGTGTGAAACAAGACATGAATTTTAAAATATAAGTATATCAAGTACCTAGAAAGTAGTTACACTCTAAACACACCCTTAATTTTGTCAAAGATAAGAACAAATATAATAGATTTAGATTATAAGTCTACTACAAAAGGAAAAAAAAAAGACCAGGAAAGCCATTCTTTTCCAAGCCAATTGGACCCCTTATAAATATATAGATACTTCTAAGGGTAAATAATATTTTGTGAAAAAATTAAAACTTGATTTACAGAACTAAAAAACTGATTCTTAAAAAAGAGGAAAATTATAAATCTGTTTTTAAAGTAGTATTAAAAAACATGAAATAATAGATGTAAAAATTAACTTAATAAATTTAGTAAAAAATTAACTTTAGTAAATTAACATATAGCTAATCTGAAAATTCAATGTGAACTTTTGAAGTAACTAGAAAATAGTAAAATGCTAACAATATAATGATCCAATTGACTGAAAGTGACATGACTACTTCTAGGTCAGAGAACTAGACAGGAATGATTTCAGTTCTCCTAATATAATTGATTATTATTTGAGTACAAGTGACTTGTTTCACACGTGACTCAAAATTCAATCAAGTCACTGATAAAATAGTTAATATAGAAACAAAGACAATTGAAAGAAAAATGCCCTTTCATAAATAAAATCTGAATTAATAAAAACATGAAAAAAATCCAGTCCTAAACAGTTTCAAATATTTTTTGAGGTATCTTGAAACAACAATGCTTACAGATTTGGACCTACTATTATTCTTTTTCCAAATAATTTTTATAATTATGGAATAAAAACAACTTGGCAAAGAGTTCTTTGAAAAACAAATCTGCAAAATTACATTTGAAAAGATAACTGACAATGTGTAGAAAAGGAGTATTTCAATCCATAGAACAGATTATTTTGTAGTTTTCCAGCAAATTGGCAAAGATGCTTATAAACCTCTAAGTACATAGCAATGAGACTGTGAAGCAAATTTTAGCCTGGAGTTCTTGGTGAGAACATGATACTAATGAAGGCTAAGCAAGAGACTGAAGCCAATAAACTCCATTCTATTTTGTAACTATCGGCCACATATCTCTGAGCTGGGCCAATTTGTCTCATGAATAGACACCGTTAACAAAAAGGGACTTGCAAGTGTGTGAGAGCAAAATCAATTACCACGGGAAGAAAGCCAAGTTAAAACACATGCCAGTGATCTTCATTTATGAGGGAGAGTATCTTTGTTGTAGTGCAAAAACTTTTCCATTATTGAATTTAAGATCTGGATTCTTATTCTCATTCCAATACTAATTGAATATGTGACCTTTAACAAATTATGTAAGCTTTCTGGAACACAGCTTTGCCATTCATAAAATGAAGGAATTGCATAAGTCACTTTTTAGGACACGTCACTTTTTATAACAAAGGTGTATGGTTCCAATAATAAAAAAAGAATGGATGGAATTACTATAACTGCCCACTAATCAAATTTTCCCCCATAATATTTATTTGAAAAATTCTTCTAAACTTAGCAAACCAAATATGAAGTCCAAAAAATGCTGCTAAAAAGATTTCACCTAATTAAGGAAATAACTAATTTTAAGCACAAAAATGTTTTCAATCAAACAAAGGAAATGGAAGCTGCAATTCTATCAAACCTCTGGCAACTGTTCTTCCCATGATAGGTTTCAGATATATCAATCTTTAATAATTAACTGAAACAAACCAAAAATAAAAATTTAAGTACAAATATATAATAAATGAATGCTGTAACTGTTATGATATGTAAGTGACTGCCACCTCTGAATTGCTCCTATAGGTCAGGAACCCTATTTTGCTCTATATATCTAAAGAATAAAAATACATGCCTTTCCCAGGGTAGTATTAGTTTAAAAGTAGCAAGTCCCACTGAAACATTAAGCATTTAATGAACAGGTATCCTGTAGAAGGTACCAGAATAATTGTTGGAGGACATAAAGTTGAACCCCTTTCAATAGCTCAACTCATGTATAACTAAGTTACCACTTTAGCGTAGGCAGATATTACCTGGGTATTAAGTTGCTTCAAATTAGACACATTAAGATGTATATAGCTTTCCAGAGTTTTACTTCCTGTCATTTCTAATAGTTACTGAAAATTCTCAATTATCTGGCTACAATTATACAACTATTCTGCTCTGAGGTTTGGCACATTCAGTTTCCTGAGGCACATGCCAAATATTTATAAGCCATGAAAGGATTCTGCTGTGACTCTTGATAACAATTTTAAATATTTTGGTACATTAAAACTAAAATTTCTGTAGTCACCAGGGCCTTAAAAATAAGCTAATCATAAGCTTGACCACAAGTCACCATTTAAACACTAAACAAGTCTGTATAGACAAAAATTGAAAATGTGAAGTAAACTCTCCCCGTTCCCCATCAAATACAACAATGATTTAGAACTTAAAGGTGGTGACTTAATTTTTAGCATCTCTGGAAAAAATGTTTTTAGTCCTCTATGGTTGAGTATATGGTAAAATTAAAAACAAAACCAAACCCACAAAGATAGGGACATATTTAATGCCACATTTTTTTTTTCATAAAGTATCTACTTTAGATAAAGATTTCAAATTACTAACATGAGGACAACCACACTCACAAATCAGAGATTTCTCATTACCAGTGTGGCATTTCCAGAATATCTACCGGCTTGAAATATTTGGGTTAAAACTGCTCTTCAGTACTAAGGGACAATAAGACTATAAAATTGGAAGAAGAGATAATTTATCGAAGATGGTCATGTAGTAAGTCAAATAAAAGTACAAAATGAAAACAACTAAGAACTAGAGTCCCACAAACGCATTCTACTTCCTATCATACCAATGCCATGCTGCCTTGCCTCGTTGTCAGAGCTCCTCATCTTCTCATCTGTTATATCTATACAATTTAAGAAGCACCTCCTGTTACAGAAGGCAGCTGTATTGCTTCTTAATATAACATACTAATTCTTGCCTCCATGCCTTTATTCAGGAGGTTTCCATCAACATAAAAGGCCTTTCTCTTCCCCTGCTGCTAATCCAAATCCAAGATACCATGGTACAGATCAATTCCTACTTCTTCTATGAAGCCTCCCCAACAATGATAGGCTACATTGGTGTCTCTCAGATTCCAGTACCACACAAATAGTTACCACTTTCATATATGATTTTAATTTTCTCTCTTCAACTATACTATAAAGTATCTGAAAACAGTACCCCTATTTTATACTTCTTTTGTATTCCCCACATGGCCTAGTTCATTGTTGGGCAAATAGGAACCCAAGTATTCACTGTAATTGGTTTAATACTTTATTTCTGGGAACTTAACTTTAACTTTTAATGTTATAATCAGTTATGAGATACACTACTAGTTATTAAAATGCCACATTTCTAAATGATTAAAACAAAGCAAAACAAAATAGAATTACATTCTAATATGCTATCTTGAATGGAAGAAAAAAAAGGACTAGAAACTGAACACATTGTTTCACAAGTGAGTAACATGTAGATGAGAGGACTGAAAAATGTCACTCTGGATTACCTACAAACTACTATAATTAAATGAACACATATCGTATCATCGATGTGCAAATCACTACATTAGGCACTAACAAGCTTATGTAAATTATCTTCACTGTAACAACTTCACTATGTCAATAGCTACAAACTACACTCTCTTAACCTAGCTACTTGTCTAGAACAGGAAATGTTGTTAGTCCCAAGGGGAATAGAGGCTAAGAATTTTGATGGGTCTTTCTAAATTCATCTATCAACTTTGCTAAAAACAAGAGAATGAACATCTTGTTGGTAATAACACACTGTTACAATAACACTGTGCCATGCCATACCTTAAAGACCATGACAGAGATAAAAATAGATTATATTGAATTTTACAAGGAACTATTCTAACAGAGTGAGGAACTATTCTGTTCTCCTTGAGAGAATCAGGAGAGGAATGAACTTGCTTCTTTCCACATCATCTCTAAAGCCCAAATTAAATGAGAATACTATAAACAAGAATGACTCCCTTAGATATAGAAGATACTTCATCTAAAAAATGTTGTACAGAATATTAAAACCCAAAAGTTCTGAAACCTTCAAGGGTAGCAGTACAAAACCAGAAGTATTTGTATTCTGGCATCAAATTTATATTACCTTATATATACCTAATATTTTTCCCCAGAAATAAAAACATGATAAATGGGAATATATCTTTCCTTGAATAATTTCTTTTTCACAGAAGGTATATGTCTATGACATATGATATACTCATATGAAACATTAAAAAGCAGAGTTCTCAAATATTAAATATTAATATATAGCACAGTTTTGATGTGTGTGTATGTGTGTTTCAGTCAAAATAAGTAATTGCCAAAAGTAGTTAGAGAGTGGCTTTATCCCTCATGCTCTCATTAATTATCAATAAAAAAAAATTTTTTTAACCACTTTATTTTAGAATGTAAAATCAGAATTTTCACCATGGTGTTGGACTTAATAGCACCATAATTTCAAAGACCATTTTTTTTCTTTTTGCATTTATATACCATATGAAAGTTTGGTAACTATCCTATCAAGTAAAATGCTTCCAAACAATTACTAGGCATAATACTCCACCATCCTTATAAAGCTCAATATTACAAGGCATTCATCCAATTAAGTATTTTTTAGATTACGATATAGATTTTGAAATTTCCAAGACTAATAATAAGTAATCTTTGTTATTCAATAGTTCCCTTCCTACCCAACCAACAACCTGAAAGCATGAGTTATTCACAAATTCTCAAAGGCTTTAAATGAACCTACCTGCTATAGGGATCCCTCCCAGACCTGTGTTGTGCTGTGGCGGGAGATTCAAGTCCAAGAAATTACTATTTGAGGTGGGGTTTGCTGTGTGGTTCAAGTGCATGATGCTATTGCGTGGAAAGGCCATCCAAGGATAGCGGGCTGCCTGGCCTGGAAAACTGAATGAATTATAAACCGCTCGGTGCTGCTGAAATTGAGGGAACCTCTGTGGCAAGACTGAAAAGGTACTATTGAGAGAGTTGGCATTTGTAGGTGCAGCAGGATGCAGAAATCCAGAGCCTGGACCTTTGGCGGTTGTAGTGTGTGAAGAGGAGTTCTGAAGAGATGTGGGCGAAAGGGAAGGTTGGTCTTGGACGGACAGTTCCTTCTCAATCAGGTCTGCTAAGGCTTTTCGAGTGACATCAAAGGGATCAAAACCCAAGTCATCCTCTGGTTGTTTAGAAGAACCAAAGCCAAATGCTGCTTGCCAGTCTGTAGAGGATGATACTGGGATTGTTTCTGTTGGGAAGAAAAATAGTGATCAATATCAAATACACAGTTCACTTTCAAACTTAATGAGTATCCACACTAGTGAAAGTTAAACGTGTCATATTACAAGATAAAATCAAGTGTGGGCAAAATCTGTATGACTTCTTGACACATTAAGATCACATATAATTACAAAAGGCTTTATATACTTCTAGCAGTGATATCCTTCTTAAGTTACTAACTTCAAAAATTGAATGATTTTGCCCATCAAGGGGAAAAATGTACTTGATACTCAAATTATATTCTTAACCATTCATAATCAAACTACTATACGTCATTTAAAGGAAATAAATAATCTAATAGATTTTAATTAGTAAAGTTTATTTTTTAAAATGTACTTATCAAAGTATAATTTTGAATATATGCTTCATATACCACCAAGAAAAAATATAATTTAATAAAGTGTCTATATAAATCCTTAAAGTTTTTGTTACTTTTATGCTTTCACATTAATAAGAGAATTTAGAATGAATATAAATGGAAATAGCTCAAAAATGTCAAAACATAGCTGTTACTACTAAATAAATTACGTCTTTGTCAATTGGAAGGAAAAAAATCTTAAATTTAACTATACAAATACAAATCTAATTAAAAATGTAAGTCCTCAATAATTCCCAGAAGAATAAGGTTTTTATTACTGGGAAATAAATTACCCTTGATTTCTGGAGAAATCTTTTAACACATTAATTTCTAGGTCATATAACAATTTGATCTAACCATCTAATTCCATGCGGTTTAAATGTTTATATTTTATAAACATTTAAACCGTTATAAAAAGGGAGTGGAGAGAAAAGGATAAAAATATATTTACCAATGGGTTTCATTTCATGTCAGTCTTGTCAGTCTATCAACAATGTTAAGATTAATGCTAGACAGTATTATCATATACCTGATGTGAAGAGGCTCTGTGGTTCTGGTGCTGTAGGCCAGTCACTGGAAGTCTGTGGGGAGCTGGGGAAAGGAGGAAGCCCACTTGGGATAGGGTTGGGATGGCGAAAATTGTCTGAGAATAACGACTGTGACTCTGTTACTGCCCCTTCAAAAGGAGACCGTGCACTGTGATTGGATGAACTGATGGGGATGACTGGATTGGATTTTGATAAACCAGGTGGTGGTGAGGGCGTATCACTGTTAGATATCTGAATCAAAAAGGAAAGAAAAAATCAATACATGTTTATACATTTTAACAAACCACAATTTAAAAGGTCTGCAATTAAATGGATTAGAATAGTGGTTGTCTTCCAAACAGGTTACTTGAAGACTTTTTAATGAAAGCATGGAGTTTCAAAAAATCAAATCATTAACTTACATATGTACTCTATAGAAAGAGTACATATGTAAGTAAGTACTCTTTGTACTTTTAGAAATTAATCCAGCTGAGAAGAGTAAATAAGTCTCCTCTCCTTTTTCTACAAAGAAAAGAATTATTTTTCATTCTATGAAATTTCAATGTAGTATTTTGCTCAAGAATGAAAACTTTCCAGTGACCAAACACAAATTATTAGAAATATTTGGATTGGTGATAAGAGAATAACTAACTCTAATGACTAGACTGTTTTGCAAACTAGGTGATTCCCAATATTTTAGTTTTCAACTAAATTGAAGGAAGAGATTAAGCTGTTACAAGACACATCCTTAAAAAATAATTTTAGGCTGGGCATGGTAGCTCACGCCTGTAATCCTAGCACTCTGGGAGGCCAAGGTGGGAGGACTGCTTGAGCTCAGGAGTTTGTCTACCCAGGGGCAACAGACTGAGACTCTGTTTAAAAAAAAAAAAAGTCTTTATATATGATTCTTAGGTATTTAATACAGAAGGAATTCAAAGATTTGAGTGATACTAATACAATACTCCTTCTTCCATCTACTTATTTATATGAACAAGATGTATCAATACTTACATCATAAAAAAATGAAAAATATGGCTAGGATTGCTGCTGAAACTTGTCTCATTTTACCACTATGTAATATTCACCTAGGGATATATAAAAACTAATTTTAAAATGGCCCTATCTATCTCATTAGGAGTTGAATTTCTAATTTTAATATTTACATTTAATGGTTTTTATAAAAATCTACACTTAACATAAGTTGTCTGATCAGCTCAACACTAATAAAATTTCAGAAGAAAAAAATTAGCATTTAAAGCCTGTGGCAGCAAAACATTTTTATTTCATTCAGAAATTTAAATGCCTATTTTTGAGAGAAATATATGCTTTTCAAGCAAAAACTATATTACATCAAGAAAAAACTCTACGATGGAAATAGAAAAATGAGTTCAAAGAAAAAGAAATGATGTAAAATTTCTGATTGTTAAAGGAGAGCCTGTGTATTTTTAAAAAATGGTTGGGGTAACAAAACATGATTATGATTAAAACATTATGATGGGGCATCAAAACATTCAATTTCTTATTTAAAAAGCAATGTGGAACTTTCATTTAAAATTACCAATATTTATAATATGTTAGAATAACTACTTTTAACTTATGAAAAAAATATAATGTGAACCTAAAATATAAAAGGGGAAATAAAGATTTTCAAATTATTTTATGAAATTTGTGAGCAAAAAGTTTGGAAAAGTACTATATTTTAGATCTCTAAGTTATTCACAAATACTGTGGGGACCTGGTCATTCTTTATGGAAGAGATTAGAACTACATTTATTTTACCAATGTAAGATACACAGAAACTTAAGCAGTGAAAAACTAGCAGTAAAAAAGCTCCCTGAACAATAAGATAAGACAATGCAAACCATGCTCTAATGGTCAGCACCTCAGTTTCATAGTGGACACAACTTTGAACAACTTATATAAGCTGCCAGCATTTGGGAGAAACTAAGGGGGCAAAGTATACTGAAACTGTTACGGGCAAGTATACTGAGTGAAATAGAAAATTAAAGTTGGCAGCAAGGAACAAGGGGAATATGTAGTAGGAATATAACTTTTAAAAGCAAGAACTCAAAAGGCATGCTAGCCTGGGGCCATCTGGTGTAAAGTCAGAAAGACTAGTAACATTAGCAGACTCAAAGGATACTGGTGTATTACCATATAGTACAATAATACATGGTCATAATGATAATTCTGAGTCATCAAGAAAGGGTTACTCTATGTAGTCTGTGGAAGAAAAGAAGCCTAATTATAATACGCTTAATAAAGATGTCCATCAAAAGTGTTTTTAAGTTGTGTCAGTATTTAAAGTATTTTTCACAAAAATACACTTGCAAAGAATACCCTGTTTTGAGAGTCTGGCAGAAAAATCAAGTGATATTGTATCCAAATCTTACCTGCTGGGAATTGTCACCATTCCCTATACTGAGAGAATCTGAAGGCTTGTCAATGGGGCTGTAAAAAAAAACAAATTGAATAAAATCAGAATACAGTCATTCTCCTAAAATAAAAACAAACTTCTTAAAAGCCTGAAAATAAAACATTTTACCATCTTAATAAATGTTTATCAAAGTACTGTGAAATAAAATATTAGGTTAAATGTTGAGGACACAAAGTATTTCAGATTTCAAATCTGAAAATCCAAAACCTGAAATGCTCAAAAATTCGAAACTTTTTGTGTATTGATGTGACAGTCAAAGAAAATGCCCAATGGAGCATTTGGGATATCTAATTTTCAGATGTGGAGTGCTCAACTAGTAAGTATAATGCATGTATCTCAAAATCTGAAAAAAATCCAACATCTTAAACACTTCTGAACCCAAGCATTTCGAATAAGAGATATTCAACCTGTATAAGATAAGATCCCTACCACTGAGGAACTTACATTCTATTTAGATTCTCCAAAAACAATGCGTGAAATAATAGCTTATGGGGAAAAAAAAAGTACTGCTTACAACAGATGCTATTCCAATTAATAAACCAAAAGTCTAATCCATCACTTAGTTTTGTGCATGTGATAAACACACTCCCCATTACAGTTTCTGAAATAGTACTGACCCATTTTTCTAGGTGTTTGACAGAGGGCACAAAAGTTACTGAAATGTTCTCTACAGGTCTTTAAGAGCAATAAATGTAATACTTCTATGTACTACTCATAACCCTAGAGAAGGCATATGTGTATACATATTAATATACATATATATATATACACACAGAAATTAGACAAATGAAACACACTTCTGTGCAAACTATTGACTCAAACAAAAATATTGTTTTATTTCCACATGGAGAAAATGCCACACCATGGAACAGTAAGACAGCATTGCTGACTTCAAGTCCACTTTAGCTCATCTGACTTAAAGACAAAATAAAATCTTTATAAGCAATGCAATTCTGACCTAGTGACATCATTTCTATAACTAACTTTAACTCACCACACAAACAAAAAATAAGTACAGCCATGTGTTGCTAAATGATGGAATACATTCTGAGAAATGTGCCACTACGTGATTTTGTCATGTGCAAACATCAGAGTGTACTTACTTATATAAACCTAGATGGTATAGCCTGTTGTTCTAGGCTACAAACCTGTATAGCATGTTACTGTACTGAATATTATAGGCAACTATAACACAATGGTAAGTAAGCATTTGTGTATCTAACCATAGGAAGATACAGTAAAAATATGGTATTTATACTCTTATGGGACCACCATCACATATGCAGTCAGCTGTTGACTGAAATGTTGTTAGATGACTAGTCATGTTGGGACATGACTGTGTTATTAATATTACCCCAAAGGTATTGTTCTGATATAATATTATAGGAAAAAGAATTAAGATTCCAAATTTCTCAAAATTATTTTATTCTCTGGAATACATACGAGGTCATCTTTCAAACAGATAACTTACTGGTACTATGTTTAATTGCTCTAAAAAAATTTAACAATGGCTAGTACCCAATCTGAATCCCAGGTGTATCTTCTGCAGAGATATTGCCAGAGACTTTTGATGTGAAGTTTACTTGAAGAGCACCTTCTTATTATCCATAAAATATCAATGAATATTAAGTAATATTTTAAGATATAGTTCGGAGCATACTAAGTTTAGAGATATTTGGGGAAACAAGACAGGTGCACATCAAACAAATATCAGCCAGTGCCTGCTACTGAATGAATTGTTTAGACAAAAAAATGCCATAAATCTTCAGAATAAAGTGAAGCTACCACAAGTGAGGCAATTAGGGAAAGTTTCCTAGGGGAGTTCAAATTTAAGTAGGCCCTTAAAAAGATTTATACATTAGGAGAAGGAAAGAAAAAGGGGAAAGGGACAGCATTAAAGGCAGGAACAGTACCCGTATCAAGGGTCGAAAGGTCACATACAGGATGGGACAGAGTTAAGGAATTAATATAGCTAACAAATGGTATGGTTGGAATAAAAATTGGAGGGTAAGGATAGAAAGGTAGACAGAGGCCAGAGACCAATGGAAAATTTCTGAGCACAGAAATCAAGCAGAGTTCTAGAAAGATCAATTTGGTGGTGGCATAAAGAATAGACTGGAACATAATAGAGATAATTTTAAAATAAACTTCCACTGTTCTTATGATATGGGAATAAGGGCTTCAAGTTGAGAGAAAGACGTGGTAACAGAAACAAAAGGAAAGCAAGATATTATGAAGGAAAAATTTTAGTGTCTAGATCTTGGTTCATCTTCCCAACCACAACCATTAAAGAGCACTAATAAAAATTTTCAATATAAATGAGGTCTGTCTTGCTAATGTCCAGAGCAATATAAGAGAATGTTATTACATAGAGAATAAATCATAAGGATGTTTCTAGATTACAACTGAGTAGATTTATATCATCTTGTCCAACACCTCAACTGCAGTCTTATAAGCCCCAATTCATAACACCGTATGATTTATCTGTAAAAGTTTTATCAGAGATACTAATTGTATTATCAATCTAAAAATAGCTGCTGAAAAATAAGAATTATGGCAAGATACCAGTAAATTCATGTTCCACTCAGTTTTAGTATATTTGTCTCAATTTATTAATATTTTTAATAATTAAATTTAAAAAATCAATTATATTATAGTTAAACCTGATATTATAAGTGCCACTATCAGTGGAAAAGCAGAAAAGAAATATGAGAGAGTCCCTGCAAATGCATGTATAACTTCAATAGAAAGAAAAAGTATATTTAAAAATTCCAATGACCATGAACTCCTTAGATGTCTAATGGCTGGACAGAAAAGATATATCCCAAGACCACCACCAACAGGTCAGTGTTCTCACAACTCCACTAGCATCAGATGTAGAACCTCCTTCCTCAGCAAGCTGTTTGCTTAGGTGTAGTGATATTAACAAATTTGTTTTACTTTCGACATTCACGCACCCATTATCATGCCAAGAAAGTAACTGCTGAAAAAAGGAAAATAAACTTTATTAGTAATAAATACCACATTTACCAAAGAAGAGAGAAACACATTCCATGAAATGGAATTCTGGACAAGAATTTTCAGGTTACAATGATATTGGATCTAAGAAGGCTATGTGTACTAAGATAAATTGCATACGGCTTTTTCATTTAAAAACAAAACAAAACAAACCCAAACCCTATGGGATTCCTTAAATCAACCTCTTTTTGCAACACTAAAAAAATTGCATTTTGAAGCAAAGGGCTTATTGTTCATTCCATTTTCAATGGGAAAGATTTTTAAAAACTATTTGTGCAGTACAACGCAATGGAGAAGAAGTTGCCTAGTGAGGGAAAAAACTAGGAAGGTGTCTGAAAAGTTGAAGATACCAATTTAGTTCTCAGGGACAGAAGCAAAGAAAAGCAGATAATATAAACTGAACTAAAGAATGAGAGAGGCGAAAACAAAGGTTTACAACCATCTTTGAAAAGGCTAACAGTTGGAAGACTACCTATGTCTACAATTCAAACACTAAAATCAGTCATAATGTTGATAGAAAGAGAAATCAAGACACTGAAGTCCATAAACACCATGAAGTTAATTGAAAAGCACCAGATTAAAATGGAAGAAGCGCTAACACATATTAGGTCTTGTAACATAATCGGGATGTTATCTCTAGAAGGCAATGTTGTATGTTTAAATCCCTGTAGGTAAAAATTCATTAATATATATTCTCATATAAACAGGTCTCATTAATTTGTTTAAAGTTCCAGTCCTAGGTCCTTGCCTGTGAGAGTGGCCACTGTGTTGGTGCTCTGGGGCTTGGACCCTGGAAAAAAAAATTATATAAAAAAAAAAAAAAAAAAAAAAGTTCCAGTCCTAAAGAGTTCTGAAATCTATGGAGAAATTACAGATTTCTTAGGAGTAAATGTTTTTAAATTAACCTGAGCAGTTGGAATCAAGTACTAAGGAGCTTTTATTAATAAAAAATAAATATATAAGCATAAATATACATATTAAAGTATAAAGTATATATTCAGACTCCATCCCTAAACATTCTGATTCAATTAGTCTGAACTGAATCATCTGGTATCGGATGATCACTTTAACAGATAAAATGAAGAGAAACAGAATAAAAAGGCATCAAAAGTCTCCTCAAAGTCTTTCAAATTATTAGATTTCACAGCTAAAAGGAATCATTACAATTAAACACTTTATTTCACAGATAAACCAAAACTCTCTGCAAAAACGTAGTCAATGACACAGCAGGGTCTGTTTGAATCTTCAGATGCCCAGCCAAGTTTTGCTCTCTTCTACCTTGTCCCAAAGGCAGTGCTTGAATTTTACTTCCTTTTACTTACTACTTCCTTAGTGGTGATGCCAAATGGTCTCATGGCTGCTTTTTAAAATTTGCAACATAAGACAATTACATAGAAGGATCAAAAAAAAAAAAATCATTTTCAGGAAGTAGGGGTGGGCTAAAAAAAATGCTGAGGTCTAACTCCTTTGTTTAGCAAGTTTAAAACAAAAACAGTCAAAGGGATTGTATTAATTTTTAGTTACATTTTGAAAACAAGACAAAATTAACATCAGGACAGAAATTTCACTGTCGTGTTACTATATACACAAATACATATTCACTTTGCTTCTAAATTAAATATTTCTATATTCATTTAGAAGAATTAATGTTAATTTTTCCAGCTCACCAGAGTCCTATATAACTGTGAGATATACTTAAATATTTGCTAACATAATGGATATTTCAGTTATTAACAGGTAAAATTTGCCTCCACAGAATATATTTCATTTGATATAGGCTTCAAATATACAGTAACACTTAAAGTATCATTCTGCTACTAAAATATGGCCACATCTTAAATGGCATAGGCATAAAAAAGGCTAGGAAAAAAATGTCTTAATAAACCTAAAATGATTGTAGTTACACATGTATGATTTTAATCGGAATTTTCTCATAACTCTAAGACCTACCTAACATGAATGAAAACAAACGTTTTGATTTACTAGTAAGTAGAAA